CTTCCACGGGTCAAGGCGTCGATCGGCATTTATTTGGTTTAAAAATGATAGCGAAAAGCGAAGGAATGGAGCTCCCAGAATTGTATAAAGACGTTGGTTACACCAGAAGTACACATTTCAATTTAACATCAAGTCAGGTAATTCAAAATTGGCTTTTAAAAAAATTTTTTCGCAAAATAGTAAAATGAAAAATATTTTAACAAAAAGATAAGCATATTTCCTAATCAATATACTTTTGTAATTTAAAGGTGCCATATAAATCAGCGTCTTTTATGTGCTATGGACCGGTTGTACCCGATGGTTATGGTTGCTGCTATAATCCGCGACCGAAGGATATTCTATTTGCCTGTTCGTCGTTTAAATCGTGCAACGAGACTAATACGAAAGATTTCGCTTGTGTTTTACAGCAAACACTGTGCGATATGCGAGACATAGGAAGTGAATAAAATTGTAAATTCGCAATTTTTGTGCGACGGAAAAAAGAGTTTAATATTTTTATATTATATACGATAGCAAAAAAAAAGATGCTCGAGTCAAACGAATTTGCTTCGGCATAAACTTTTTTATTGCGAAATATTAAAGATCGAAAACACTTTATATAGTATGACTTGGCCTATTCTATAGATGCCACAATTGTATTTTTTCATAATAAACATACGTATAATGTTAATCTCATCATCAAAATACTTAATACAATAATATATAAATATACGTATAATGTTAATCTCATTATCAAAATACTTAAATAATAAGATATAAATATAAAAATTATCAAAAAACTAATGATTGCGCACTTGGCAAGTATCATGTTACAAAATATATCACAATTCTGTTCTGGTTTTGGGAGGATAACCCCAGAAGAACGTAGGATATCCCCTGACTTCTCTTTCTCTCGCCACAAAAGCGGTGAAAGAAGAAATGCAATTTCCTATGAAGTAATTGGATCTTCCAAGAATGGCCAGATCCAAATGCGAGGATACTGGTGGTTCTTGTCGGAACACAGATATCTACACAAAAATAATAACATTAGCATTAATTGATGACACGATAGTAATAAACGAACTTACCTCCATACGCGACAAAGCTTCTCCGAGTCTGTCCAACATGTAATCATTGTCAGATGCTACGAACACAGATTTGATATCTTTGCCGTTGCGAATAACACGCTTCAGCTGAGTTATTATTACATCAAACGACGGTAAACACATCGAGAGGGTTGCTTTACCACGTTCGTTTTGATAACCGAGACACTGAGGAGCAGCAAAAAGATCTGGCGCAGATGGTATATGTTCGCAGGCGCGTTCCTGAAAAGCAAATGTAATAAATAGGAAATCATTCCTTGTAGGATATTAATAGTATATTTAATGTATAAAAATATGAATACCAAATGCACATACCCAATCGATCCCATTTCGCAAATGTATGCCAACAAACGCGCCCCTCGGCAATGTTTTCTTTATAAACGCCTTTGCTTTATTCAAAATATCATTATTCCAATTGAGACATTTCTGCAGAGGCTTGTTCACAGGTTGGACCGGGAAACTGGCGGGTGCACCCGTGAACGCCAATACCGGCCAAGTTTCGGCTGGATAATACTGATTCCACTGCTGTTTCGTCTGAGTATAATATACATCATGATAATGGAGTGGTTTGTAAAATTCTGACTTAACGAAATCTATATTATATGTGTCCCAGAAGGGACCAAATGGATTCCCTTGTTTCGCGTTGCAAGATGTTCCGTTGCTACCTACACGGGCTTCGTAACAAAAAGCTGGGAAAAAATAAAGAATTCATATTTCTTTCAAAAAAATTAACATTAGAATATCTTATTTCTTCAAAAGAATTATAATTAGAATTTACATGTTCTTTTTTCAGGTGGCCATATCTTCGGCGCAATATGCTTCATAAAATCTTCCATTAATATTGCTTTGTGGCAACTTTGTACTTGAGAAACATTGAAATAAGTATCAAATGGTACTTGCACCTAGAATAAAATTAGATACTGTCATAAAATTTACGAATAATGTTATACATATCCTAGTAAAAATTTTTCATATAATTTTTCAGAATTTCTATATAATTTTATAATTTTTTCACATTTTTTATACGAATTGGAACACCTCTCTAATTTACATCTTTTCTCAGAATTTTTCATATATGTTAATTATGAAATATCATAAGATTTCTAAAATTTTTTGTAAATTAATTTCTAATGAAATGTTACAAAATCTAGAAAATTAAAAAATATTTTTTTTTTAATTATGAGATAAGAAATCTTTATTAATAGAATATTTCAGGATTCACATATATGAAAAATTCTGAGAGAAGATATAAACTTTCTAAATATTTCTGAGTATTTCTAAAAATCTAATTTGTATAAAAATTATTTAAAAAATTTTCACCAGGGTAAGGACCTTGTGCTTACAGATTTTGTCTCTCCAGTGCGATATTCAACCCATGGCGGTAATACTAGAGTACGATTCAAAGCCTGGACGAATCCGAGGACTCCTAGGAAATGATCTGCCTGGTTACCAAAGCGGCCTGGAATGAGGATCATAAAGATTATTATTGACATATTTGACGATATCATAGATGTGATAAAAATCAAGATCTTACCCATGCAGGGACAGTAAACAATGTAGCCATTTGCGTCAATCTCAATATCTTCGCAAAGAGTGGTATAAAAGTTTGTCAAAAATAACGTAAAAATTGATATCCTAATCATGGCAAATTATGTGTAGCTTTCACGAATTTCCCCGATATTTGTCACTCTGTAACAATAGCATTAATATCTTTATAAATTCGGATAATTTTTGAAGTTACTTCCACCGGTTGGTAGGATTTTATGTCTTCAACCAGTTCAACCTTTCCTTAGATGGATAAACTGGATTAACTGGACTTTTTGGTCTGTTTTCAATTTATGATACTGTGATCCACCTTAGTGGATCGGAAATTTATTTTGAAAAAAGAAAAACCTCTTCTTAAAATTATGTAACGCCTACTTTATAAGTCCTCGTAATATATGTTTGTACACAAATCTTTTCGTGGATATTTGAGGTTAAGTATACAATGGATAACAACACTATTTTTCCGGTTCCCATGGAGACGAACGTCGGTCAGAAGCATGCAAGATTTCGTACGTCATCGAAATATTAAGCTAAGAATATTAGCACGATTTTATAAAAATAAAACCGATTTTATAATAAAATAAGACACGTCGTTTTTCATAGGACTTCAGATTTCTGTGAGATGTAAATCTATTATTTTTATTCAGAAAATTAACGATTACAGAATCATAAATAATGTATAATTTTACATATGTTATGTCATCTAAACAAATTTGCATTATAATGTTGTTTATTTTTTTACATTTCTCAACAATAAAGATACTGTTTTGTAATAAATATAATATAAATCTCTAACAAGCTAGAAAAATGCATCTAAAATAAAAATATCATAAAATGAAAGGAGCGAAAAGGGTAAAATAATATTTTATAATAAATACTTGGAAATGTGATAAAGTAATTCAAGAGTAACAATATTTATTACGAATGTAATTTTCATTGTGGCACCGCTGGTGGCGGTGGATCATTATCATCAACAGTTCTTTTGTAATTTGGAGTAACGGTCGGTTTAGAGTATTTCGGGACCATTGGTGTCAATGGTAGCAGAGAACCGAAGAAAACGTGTTGAATAACAGGAAACTTCGCCAATACCTAGCAAATAGATATGATAGAGTCAATACTTCTTTTTTTAACTTCCATCGACTATAATTACCTCAGCCTGATACATTTTTATAAGACCACTGTTCACTTTCGACCATGAGGATACTGCACTAACATTCCATAACTGATTCGAATGCTCGGCAAAAGGTCCTATTTTCACCTAATAAAACACAATTATTATCAAAATGTAAGTTTCTTAATCTTAAGTAAGTTAAGTCACACTAAAAAAACATAATAAATCTTTATATGAATATCTTTATGTACCTTTGAGATAAATTCAATGCAGCTAAGAAACATGTATTTTTTGCTGTAAGATTCCACGATACCTTGATCTACAAAATGACGTGGTTCTATCCGAGGATGTCCTAAAATATTAAATTATATAATTTTAAAAGCAGAAGAAACTTCTAAATCACTGTATTATATTATCGCTAAAGAATATATTGAAAAACATATACAAAAGTTAATACCAATGAGCTGAGCACTTCCCCATATGAAGGGTACAAATTGATAATCGTCTAAACTCCAAACACCATGACTACCCGCTGGCTCCATACGGTATATCAGCTGAAGCCTACGCACCAATTCCAGATACCTAAGCAGAGAAAAACGCGATTTAAATAACTAAATAATTTGGGAAAATAATAAGAGATCATGTAATATATTCAATCAAATTAAAATACCTATTAAACACTTTTACTACAACAGCAATCTTATCATTTTCTTCAAATGCACCTATCTTGAACATACAGCAGAGGAACATAAGGAAAGCCATTTCATGGCCTGTTCCATAGTCGATGCGAGTTGGATTCCCAAAACTTTCATATAAATACTGCACTATCTCTGGGATCGCACGATATAGATCTTCTGGTAAAACTTGCTTCAATTCCTCTGCAGCATTCTGTAATAAGAGTAAATTAAATCTTATAATTTTTTAATAACTTAAGAGTAATTTACATTCTTAAATACGATACTAATAACATACCTGCTGTAGTCTTTCATGCCATATGCGAAATGACTTGTTGCCAAATCGCTGTGGTTGTTCGGTAGGTGGAATTTCTGTTATCCATTCATCAAATCTATTCAACATCTGTATAACATTGTTTATTACAGGTGACTGTGGACATTGTGCGTCCAAAGCAGTACCTTGAACAGCACTGTTTAATGTCAAAATAAATCCTAGGTATTCCTACAAGTAATTTTATAAAAATACATTTAAATAATATTATCTTTTATTTAAATAAATATATACATACATAAACATAACACAGTAAAAGCATAAAATTTAGTTAATATATAAGTATATTTACTAAAGTATATATTTTTGTTGTAACAAATAATTTGTAATATTTGTAATATATTATTGTGTTGTAGCAAATACATTATTTAGTAAATTAATAATTTACCAGAAATATTAGACATTTTTATATTTAATTAATACTTTTGTTAAAATTTTACAAAAATACATATATTGATACATACTAGTAAATGTACAATAATTTTGTTTTTACTGTGACACGTATGGAATATATTTTTATATAATCGTATACTAATTAAAATAAAGTTCCAATGAAAAATAAACTGTAAAAATTCTTACATAGTAAGCTTCCGATCTTTGCCAAAGCGCTAGATCGTTTGGTATCTTAACACACTTTTTTGGTACAATAAATTCATGCTCCTTGGCTGAAATAATATATTAACATGCATTTTAGAAAAATCAATCAAATTTATCATATATATATATGTATGTAT